TCTTTTGTGTGGAATGTAGTTCTATTTTTAATATTTTGAGAAACCTCCATACTGATTTCTGTAATGCCTATGCTAATTTACATTCCCATCAACGATGTGCAAATATTCCCTTTTCTCCACATCCTTCCAACAATTACACTTTGTCTTTTTTGTAATAGCCATTTTAACAAATATGAGGAAATATTTCATTGTGGGTTTAATTTGCATTTCTCTGATTAGCAATGTTGAGTGTTTTTTCAAATACCTATTGACCATTTATCTTCTTTTGAGAAATGTCCATTCAGTTCCTTTGCCTACATTTTAATTGGATTATTTGTTTTCTAACTGTGAGCTGTTTGAATTCCTTATACATTTTGGATATTGACCCCTTATAAGATGTATGGTTTCTAACTATTTTCTCCCATCTTATAGGTTGTCTCTTAACTCTTTGCAAAAGCTTTTTAGTTTGATGTGACTCCATTTGTCTAGTTTTGCTTTTGTTGTCTGTATGCTTTGGGGGTCATATCCTAAAACTCTTTGACCTAACCAATGTCAAAAAGCTTTTTCTCTAGGTTTTCTTCTAGTAGTTCTAAAGTTTCAGGTCTTATGTGTCTTTTTACTATTTTGGCTTGATTTTATGTAGTGTGAGATGAAAGTCTAAATTCATTCTTCTGTATATGGATTTCCAGTTTTCCTAGAGCCATTTATTGAAGAGACTATACTTTTTCTGTTGTGTGTTCTTGGCACCTTTGACAGAGATCAAGTGACCATAAGTACATGGATGTATTTTGAAGTGCTCCTTTTTCATTGGTTTGTGTGTCTGTATTTATACCAGTATCATGCTGCTTTGATCACTATAGGTAGGTATATAGTTGATTTTGAAATGAGGTGCTATGTTGTCTCCAGCTTTGTGCTTTTTAGTTCAAGATTGTTTGGTTATATGGACTCTTTTATGGTTCTACAGAAATTTAAAAATTTCATTTTTCTATTTCTGTAAAAATGCCATTGTAATTATGATACGGAGTTCATTGAATCTGTAGATTGCTTTGGGTAGTATAGACATTTTAACAACATCAATTCTTCCTATGCATGAAAAAGAGGATATATTTTCACTTATTTGTGTCTTCCATTACTTTCATCAGGGTTTTATAGTTTTCAGCGTCCAGATCATTTCCTTGGTTAAATTTACTTCTAAGTACTTTATTATTTTTAATGCTGTTGTAAGATCTTTTTTTAACATTTTTTTTGGATAGTTCATTGTTAGTGTATAGAAGTGCTACTAATTTTTGTACATTGATTTTGACAAGATTGTGCCATCTGCAAACAGACAATTTCATTATTTCCTTGCCTATTTTTATGCCTTTTCTTTTCTTTACTAAAAAATGGTGAGAGTGGGCATTCTGTCTTGTTCCTTATCTTATAGGAAACTCTTCACTTTTTACCATTGAGTATGATGTTAGTTGTAGACTTGCCATGTATTATTAAGTGCAAATGAATTAATAGACATTGAGTGTCTAAACAGATTTTTTAAATGAGATGCAATTATATGGTGCCTACCAGAGACCCATTTTACCTTGAGGGATACACATAGGCTGAAAATGCAGAGACGTAAATGAGATATTCCGTGTAAAATGTTAATAGTAACCAAAAGAGAACAGGGGAGCCGTACTTAAATCAGACAGAATAGAACGTAAGTCAAAAACTATTGTTAGAGAAAAAGAGGTCATTATATAATGATTACATGGCCAATTCATCCAGAAGATATAACCATTATAAATATAAGGTATATGCACCCAACATCAGAGCACCTAAAATATTTAAATATATATCAACAGAACTGAGGAAGATATATACAGCAATACAATAGCATTCAGGGACTTCTGTACCCTGATTTCAACAAAGGATAAGTTATCCCCACAGAAAATCAATAAAAAGGGGACTTTGACAACACCATAGTCCAAATAAACCTGACAGACATTTACAGAACATTCCATCCAATAACATGGCACATTCTCCAAGACAGATCATATGTTAGGGCACATAACAAGTCTTAACAAATTTAAGAATATTGAAATCATGGGAAACATCTTTTCTGACCATAATAATATGAAATTAGAATTAAGTAACAGAAAGGAAATTAGAAAATTCAGAAATGTATAAAAGTTAAGCAATACAGTCTTGAACAACCAATGGGCAAAAAAGTAAATGTTTTAAAAATTGAAAAATATCTTGAGACAAATGAAAATAAACACACAATATACAAAATTTATGATAAGCAGCAAAAGCAGTTCTAAGAGAGAAGTTTATGATGATAAACTCCTACATCAGATTAAAAAAAAATCTCGAGAAACTTAATTTTATATTACAAGGCACTAGAAAAAAATAACTAAGCCCAAGTTGCTAGATTAAAAAAAAAAAGATACAGTTCAGAGCAGAAATAAATGAATGAAATAAAGACTACAAGGTCAATAGAAAACATCAATGAAGTTGAATTGATTTTGTTTGGAAAAGACAAAGAACTGACAAACATAGACTAAGAATAAAAGAGAAGACTCAAAAATTAAGTTCTAAATAAAAGAGCCAGAGAAGTACAAAGAATCATACATACTACCATAAATAATTACATACCCCAAATTAGATAACCTAGAAAAAAAATATAAATTCCTAGAAACATCCAACCTACCAACACTGAAGCATAGAAACATAAAATATGTCAATAGACTAATAACTAGAAAGCAGATTAAATCAGAAATAAAAAGCTTCCCATCAAAGAAAGCTTATAGACTCAGTGCCTATAGCTCAAGCAGCTAAGGCTCCAGCCACATACACCAGAGCTGGTGGGTTCGGATCCAGCCTGGGCCTGCCAAACAACAATAATAACTACAACCAAAAAAATGGTCGGGCGCCTGTAGTCCCAGCTACTTTGGAGGCTGAGGCAAGAGAATCTCTTAAGCCCAAGAGTTGAAGGTTGCTGTGAGCAGTGACGCAATGGCACTCTACCCAGGGCAACAGCTTGAGGATCTGTCTCAAAAAAAAAAAAAAAAAAGGCTTCTAACCTGATGTTCTTCATGATGGTTTCTACCAAAGTTTTAAAGAACGTCGGCCAGTCTTTCTCAAGCTCTTTCTACTAATTGATGAGAACATTTCTAACCTCATTTTACAATCACAGCATTACTGTGATACCAAAAGTCAGACAAGGACACTGCAAAAGAAGAAAATTACAGGCCACTATTTCTGGTGAACATTGATTGATGCAATAATAGCAAATTGTATTTCATGGAATATTAAAAGGATCAACATATGCAAATCAATAAATGCAATACATCATATTAATACTATGAAGTATAAATATCATATGATCATCTCAATAGATGCAGAAAAAGCATTTGACAAAATTCAACATCCTTTCATGATTAAAAACTCTCAACATAGAAAGAATATGTATAGAATAGGTACATATATAGGAATATATAGAAAGAATGCAACTAACATAATAAAGGCCATATATGTTACAAGTTCACTTGTGTACATTTTCAATATACACAGAAGTTTAAGTAACCATAACTAACCTGTATTACTTGATCTAACTGCTTCTTTGATCCCACATTCTGCATAGAACTAAGTTAATTATTTAAACGTGTAAACCACATTATGTCAACCGCTGTTTTAAACTTGAAGGCTGTCTCATTTCAAGTTGAAGAAGCATCAAATAATGCACTTAACATATAGTGCAAAGCCCTACATACTCTGACCTTTGCCTCAGCCCTCCTTCCTCTCTATCCCCCCATCCCCACAAATGAGCTGCTTTTTTATTCTTGGAAAAATAAAATTGCCACTTGGCCTTCTATGTCCAAGCCTATTGTACTTGCTGTTTCCTACAAATGGAAACCTCTCCTCTGGACCTTTCTTTTTTGTCAACTGGATATCAAAAAAGGTCTCCTGCTCTGTGAAGTCTTCTAAGACCAGAGACCTGGACCAGCAGCTGCCCATTTCTGCTGTATGATTTAGTCCTGCTTGAGTTTCTCCATAGCACACATTACTGATTGAAATTGTCTTATTCACTTATTTGTAAACTTACTGACTGGGAAGCATCAATGAATAAACAATTGAAATATAGTACAACTTTAAAAAGCAGTGGAGACATGAAGAGAAGATATTTGGTTATTCCCTCTGCTTGCTCATCTCCCCCAGCAAGTTGAGTCCTACTACCCAGCTGGCTGCCTCTACCAAGTCATTCTCAAAGCATGACTGAGACCAAATACCCTACACAGCCAGACAGCCGGAACGCAATCACCATCCCCTGTGATCTCATTCACCACCCTACAATGTAGCCAGCCATGGAATAAGTTTTGTCTTGAATGTTTTCATATAATTATGACAAAAATTGCATACAGAATACCCTCCACCCCCCTCATGTTTGAAACTACAATATTGAAAATAAAGTTATACTCTACATTTTGGTTACTTTTAATATATTCATAAACAAATAGCAGTAACAACACATTAAATACATAAATAACTGAAAAAAAAAGTCACATAGTTTATTTTAGGGTTGTGTGGACCTAACTTCTCAAAAAGACTTAGTTTTGCATGAAAGAGGGGAAAAGGAGGGAAAGAGACAGGGTAAGCAACTGAAGAGGAGTGAATCCCAGATTTTTCATAAATTTAGCTGCACTACAGTTGGCCCAGAGTATGGCAGCCTGGGGTAGGTTGGGTTCTGGCAACCTCAGCAAGACCTCGTTCCCAGAGACAGTCCAGTGGAGGAAACCTCAGCTACAGACCCAGAAGTTAGCAGAGTCCAAAGACTTTCTGGGGTCTGGGAGGAAGAACAAAGCATGGCTAACTTGACAACCACCACGAATTCAGCAGCATCCAAAGGAATCGCCATATGGACTCTTTCATTCACGACCAGTGTCCTGAAAACTCGTCCTGAGCTCTAGATGGACATGTGATCAGTCTCAGTAAGCCTCCTACCAGACAGCAGAGAGTAGAGCAATGAAGAATGAAGGCCATCTCTGGGCTTAGAGAGGGGCCCAGCAGCACCCCAGAACTTTAGGAGGATTCTGGAGTCCTGGGCTCAGTGGTGCAGGCTTGTCTATTAAAGCACCATCCTCAGGCAGGGGCTGAACCTTAGGCCTCGGAGCTGTGCACGCTGTACCCACCAAGAAGCGCCTTTTGGCAGGTGCCTGGAGGGTCTGCACCTGGGCCCCCTCCAGTTCCCTAGGACGACGACCTCGACCATTTCTGCCCTTTGATGGTTGGAGAACTTGTGCCGATGGGCCCAGGGTGGGAGGTGGGGTTTGGCTGGGTTGCTGGGTACTGTGAATGGTGGTGGCCCCCAGCTGGGCAGCGGTAGTACTGGCCACACATGGGCGCTGGGGAGAACAATGCGCTTGGGCCCCACAGGGTGCACGACCCTTGGTGGCTGTAGGCCAAGGGGAACGCGAGGCCGGGCGGGGGTGGCGCCTCAGGCCCAAGGAGGCTTTTCTGGATGCTTGGACCCCACTCCAGGTGGTCAGCTCCTGGCTGGACGGTTCCCTGTGGTCCAAAACTGGCCGGTCCCGTCCACGTTTCCACAGGTCATAGCGCTCAGGTTGCAGGATGCGCACGAAGGCGTCCATGGAAAAGGTCACCCTGGCCTCCCCGCAGCTGCACTGCGAAGCCACTTTACCATAATCGATCCATCGCGGAGTTGCAAAATTGATGGCCTCCGCGCAGTTGAAGCCGTGGTTGAAGCCAGCATGGTAGCCATAGGGAAATGTCACCATGAACTCTCCAGCCTCCTGAGTCATGCGACTGAAGGGGATCCCATTCTCCTTGAGGACGGTGGGCGAGATGAGAGCCACCTTGTGCCTCAGGAAGGCTTCACAGCTCCGGGAACTGCCCGGGAAAAGCACACGGGCCAGGCGTTCCAGGCGCTGGCCGTGTTCTGGGGGCACCGCATACCAAGATTTGGGCTCCCCAAAGTGCAGGTAGTTGATGCTGTAAAGGTCCATGTCCTCCGTGTGCCAAGGAAAGGTGGTCTTCCACATGCCAAAGTACAGGTAGGGTGTGTTGACACCTTCGATGACAACTCCACATTCCTGCTCCAACAGGTCCTGAATTGTCCCCAGGTGTCCCAGGTTCCATTGTTTAGTGTTTTCATCAAACAATGAGCCACTAACATCAGCACCATAAATTGGTGAGTCATAGAGGCGATTCTTCCAATATTTTCTCTCCAAATCATCAAAGTTCAGGTGTGGTGGCGTCCGATATTTTTCACTGTTTGCCAGGCAGCGATACTCCCCCAGGGTCATGGCTTTCTTCTTTTTATGGTACTGGGTAAACACCCCTGCCCGACCAGAGGCCACCTGCTGGAGCGGAGTGGGTATTGAGATGTCATTGATGTCTTCATAGGTCTGTCTGGCTTTCCAGTCCTTGGGTGGAATCACCTTGGCTAGGCCAGCTCGGTGTGCACCTTGGGATTCCATGTAAGCAATATATTTATCAAAATCATCAAATTCTTCTTTGGTTGGATGAAATATCATTATACTACAGGTTGGATTTGGGGCACAGTTGGCCTTAGACTTCATAGTTTCAATTTAATAAGCAGCAAATTCTTAGTGTTTAAGTATGTTCTAGATAGTTGAGGTTGCAGGAAAATGCTGCTTGCAAAAAACTGGGTTATTGTACATATGAGGGAGCAGGATCTACCAGCCAAATTTCTCACAAATGAGATGATAATCTTTCTTAGGCTTGTTGATGCAGCAGGGGGACTCCACTCTGGGCAGCAGCATTACTCAGGCACATGGTGCCTGCACCTGTAACTCTTGTTATGTTTCTCACTTGCTGCCTGGCTCTGTTCTCTTGCAATCTGTTAAATTACTCACATCTGAGTAAGTGACCCAAATATAGAAGAACAGGTCTTCAGGGAAGTCTTCAAAATAAAGTCTAAAGGAAAAAATACCAAGAGACTGAAAATTAATGTTTGGAAAAAGTTACTAGGTAACTACAAATTAAGTATCACAGTGAAATACTACTATTACAAGAGGAGGCTAAAATTTTATAACATTGACAATATGAGGAACGGTGTGGATGTGGAACAAAAGGAATTTGCTTTCTTTCTTTTCTTTCTTTTTTTTCTTTGTAGAGACAGAGTATCACTTTATTGTCCTCGGTAGAGTGCCATGATGTCACACAGCTCACAGCAACCTACAACTCCTGGGCCTAGGTGATTCTCCTGCCTGAGCCTCCCAAGTAGCTGGGACCACAGGCATTCGCCACAGTGTCTGGCCATTGTTTGCTGCAGTTTGGTGGGGCTGTGTTTGAACCTGCCACCCTTGGTATATGAAGCTGGCACCCTAATCCACTGAGCCATAGGCACTGCCCCAAGAGGAATTTTCATCTGCTACTAGAGAGAAAGTGAAGCACAATAATCACTTTGGAAAACTATTTGGACAGTATCTTCTATAATTGAACTTTTCCACATGTATGGCTATGCCCTGAAAGTCATGCCCAAGAATGTTCACAGAAACGTTGTTTCCAGTGGCCAAACACTGTGAACAACCCAAATGTTCTTTGACAGTAGAATGGATAAGTACTTGGAATACCATATGGCACGAAGATAAACAACATTTACATAAAAATACAATAGATTTTATAAAGATAATATTGAACAAATTATTCAGACTCAAAAGAATTCCTATCCCATAATTCCATTAACATTAATATGTAAAGGAGGCAAAGTAATCTATGTTCAAAGACAAGAGTAGTGGTTACCCTGACTACTACTCAGAGAGATTTTTGTGGGGAGGGCATAGGGCATCCCTGGAGTAGAGTTAATCTATTGTGAATCTGTATGCTACTGGTTACATACCCATTAAAATAGTTAATGCTGATAATTCATCAAGCTATGATGATTTTCACAAGTTTATGTATATTACTCTAAAATTTTAATATATTGGCTCGGTGCCCGTAGCTCAAGCAGCTAGGGTGCCAGGCACATACACCAGAAGTGGCGGGTTCAAGCCCAGCCTGGGCCTGCAAACAGCAATGACAACTACAGCTAAAAAATGGCTGGGCATTATGGCAGGCTCCTGTGGTCCCAGCTACTTGGGAGGCTGAAGCAGGAGAATTGGTTAAGCCCCCCAAAAGAGTTTGAAGTTGCTGTGAGCTGTGACTCCATGGCGCTCTATGGAAGGCAACATAGTGAGACTCTGTCTCAAAAAAATAAATAAAAAAAAATGGAGTATAAGGCAAAAGGCATTAAAGACAACTAAGAGGTATATTTCATTATATTAAAAGGAAAAAGAAAAATGATTGAGGGGGGGAGGAGCAGGATGGTGCCAAGTAATGGCTTCCTTGCAACTGGGCACGGTGAGACTGGGGAGAGAAGACTCCAGGCATCTCTGGCTGGTGGGCTCTGCCCAGAAACATTCCTTTGGGGACACAGGGAGTCAGTGAGAGACTTCTGGACCCCATAAGGAGGACAAAAGCAGTGGAGAACTGGCAAGTGGTTGCATGTGGTCATTCAGTCTAATCCCACCAGCAGCTGTAAGTATAGCAGCAGTGAGATTGCAAACTGGAAAAGTTTTACCTGTCAGCTATTTTGGTTTTTTTGGGGGGGGGGGGGCTTGGCACTCAGTTGAACTAACTTGGGAGAACTTGGGCAAGAGTGCAGAGGATTTTAAGTGTTGTCTAGGGCCCCAGACTGAGCTGCTGCACTGGACAGAGCTAATAGTGTTGGGCTGTGGGCTCTGCAGAATCATTGTGGGAGAACTGCCCCGGCAATCTCCGCCCTCAGGGTCGCAGAGCAAGGATTGGGTGGGAGACCTTGGGCGAGTAATCTAGTGACTGAGCAGCCTAAAGGCAGGACTGAGATGCCTTACAGCCTTGGCCCTCAGGGGCATAAAGTGAAACCAGTTTTGGCACACTAGGTAAGTGGACATCCACTTCAGGAGTGATCCCAGTGACAAGTGCTTTCTTGGGAAAGCTTCTGCTTAGACAAGTTAGCAGTTTAAATTGCCTTTTAAGCAGGCTGAGGAGAGATTTTGGCTCCCTACCCTGCGGGCTTTGAGAAATCAGCGGAAGCCAGCATTGTCATTAACATTTTATACCCCAGAAGATCACCTGTTACCCAGACAATATTCAGCAAGATATATATACTGCTTTTTTTTTTAATTTCAACATTTTCCCTATAGATTTTTCTTTTTTTCTTTCTTTTCTTTCTTCATTTTTCTAGTTTAAATATAATTTTCCATTGTTGCCTTCTTTAGCATTAGAACTTCAGTTTTGCTAGTGTTTCTACCCCTATTATTTAGTTTTTACCACAATTTTATCCCATAAAGTTTTCTGTTTGCTTGTTTTGGTTTGATTTATAGCATTTTTGTCTTTCCTCTCTATTTGGTGGAGGTGGGGTACTGTGTCCGAACAGGCTATCAATGAGCTGCTGACCTCAAGGGAACCACCCAACATCCAAGAGGATGGGGGTTTTTAAGTTTGGGTCAAAGTACCCTAATGTACACTGACATTGCTCCTGTCTCCCTCTTTCTATGCCTCTCTTCTTTTTGTGAATATTCCATTTTACTCACCCCCCCTTTCACTTTTTTTTCTTCTTCTTCTTTTTTTTTTTTTTCCTTTTTTCCCTTCTTGCTCTTCAATCTTCTCATCCTTCTGGTCCTATACCAAAAGGACTCATCGAAACCCTAGTCCAGAGGCACAGTAACTTAAAGAGCAAGAGGAAGTGAAAGAAAAATTAGGGCAAGGAAACAGATAAAAGAAAACACTCATGAGGAAGAATCAGCAGAAAAATCTTGGTAACATGAAAAACCAGTCCAGAGCAACCCCCTCCCCCCAAGGGAAGATGCAATAGAAAGTATCAACAACAGACTAGACCATGCAGAAGAAAGAATCTCAGAGGTAGAGGACAAAACTCTTGAGATAACTCAGATAGTTACAGAAGCAGAAAAGAAGGGAGAGTAAGCAGACTATTCACTGATGTTGGGAATTCACTGAATTATGGGACTTTATGAAGTGCTCAAACATACAAGTTATAGGTATCCCAGAAGAGGAAGAAGAATGCCCCAGGGAAATGGAAGCCATACTAGAGAATATTATAAATGAAAATTTCACCAAAGAAATATCACCAAATTTCACCAAATATCACCAAAGTTTCTAACACACTCCTTTCAGAGGGATATTGGACCTCCGATTGCCTCAACTCTGACCAAGTCTCTCCAAGACACATTGTGATGAACCTGTCCAAAGTCAAGACAAAGGAAAAGATTCTTCAAGCTGCCAGGAGTAAGCACCAGCTGACCTACACGGGCAAATCCATCAGGGTGACTGCAGACTTCTCTAATGAAACTTTTCAAGAAAGAAAACAATGGTCACCTACCTTTAATCTACTTAAACAGAACAATTTCCAGCCCAGAATTCTATACCTGCTAAGCTAAGCCTTAAAATTGACAGAGAATCAAATCACTTACTGATATACAAGCATTGAAGAAATTCACCACAAGACCAGCTCTACAGGAAATACTTCAACCTGTTCTACACACTGACTATCACAATGGATCAACAACAAAGTAAGAACTCAGAAATTAAAGGACAGAACCTAATGATGCAAAAGATAAAAGTAAGCAGTGGACTCTCACAAAATAAGATGAATAGAACACTACCACACTTATCAAATATCTCAATAAATGTCAATGGCTTGAATTCCCCACTGAAGAGGCATAGATTGGCTGACTGGATTAAAAAACACAAGCCATCCATTTGCTGTCTACAGGAAATACACCTAGCTTCAAAAGACAAATAACTCCGAGTTAAAGGTTGGAAGACAATTTTTCAGGAATTCAGAAGACGAGAGGAGTTTCAATCTTATTTTCAGATACATGTGGATTTAAAGCAACTAAAGTCAAAAAAGACAAAGATAGTCACTTTATATTGGTCAAGGGAAAAATACAAGAAGACATTTCAATTCTAAATATTTATGCACCCAACTTAAATGCTCCCCGATTCTTAAAACAGACCTTACTCAGTCTGAGCAATATGATATCCTATAACACCATAATAACAGAGGACTTTAACACTCCTCTTATAGAGCTGTACAGATCCTCTAAACAGAAATTAAACAAAGATATCAGGGACTTAAATGAGACTCTAGAACAACTGTGCTTGATAGACACATAGAACACTCTATCCCAAAGATAAAGAATATAGATTCTTCTCATCACCCCATGGAAGATTCTCTAAAATTGATCATATCCTAGCACATAAAACAAACCTCAAAAGAATCAAAAGAATTGAAATTTTACCCTGTATCTTCTCAGATCACAAGACATTAAAGACAGAACTCAACTCCAAGAAACGTTCAACCCCACACAAAGGCATGGAAATTAAACAACCTTCTGTTGAATGACAGCCGGGTGCAGGAAGAAATAAAAGACGAAATCATTAACTTCCTTGAGACAACAATAATGAAGACACAAGCTACCAAAACCTGTGGGACATTGCAAAAGCAGTTCTGAGAGGAAAATTTATCGCATTAGATGCCTACATTTGAAAAACAGAAAGAGCGCACATCAACAAACTCACAAGCCATCTTATGGAATTG